CCCAGGACAGGTAGCCCTTGGCCTGCAACAGTTCATTTAATGGCTGCTCGAAGTTACAGCACCACTGAACAAAGTGACTTACGACCAGTTTTCCCACGTACGACCGTTGCAGAACCCGCAGGGGAGAGAGGTTGCTTTCCAAAGAGGCTTCGGAAGGAATGTGGGAGGGGGGCAAAGACCTGCCATATCCAGGCTGGCCACGATCCTGTAGCGCCCCCCCGGCAGTAGAAGCCCCCGCCCTCCGCAAAGGGATCCAGTGGGGGCCCAGAGGGATCTTGAACGGATCAGGGCAGGCAACAGGTTATAAGATGCCAGTGGAAATGTGTGAAGGCAGGACGGGGGGGGGGCGCTTTGGGTGAAAACGGGGCTCAGATGCAACAGACGGGAGGGTTGCTCTTGGCCAGAGGAGACGCCCACCTGCCCCCACCACCACTCAAAGATGGGTTCATGGGGGAAGAGGGGGACCTGGCTGGGTCAAGCACCCCCACCCCCCATTCTTCTCTCTGGAGATGAGGAGGGGGTGATCTACAGGGCCCTCGAAACCTCCCTGGTGCAGCCCTTGCCTCCCCCCCCCCCAGCCGTCCAAAGGAAACTGGATTTGGTCTCTTTGCTGGGAGGCTGCAGCTGTTGTTTGCAAACACCTTTTAGCTGCGGTGTGTGTGTGTGGGGGGGGGGAATGTTGTGTCTGAAAGGAGCAGGAGACCTGGGGCTAAGCGGGAGGGGGGGTGCGAAGGTGGCTTTCCCCCGCCTTTTCTCTCTCTCGCAAAGGCTGGCAGGGGAAGGGGGTCCAAGGCTTGGTGGCATTTCTCAACCCCCAACCCCCCCCCCGCCTTGTCCCGGACTCCGCGCGGGGCGTCAGGAAAAAACATCGGGCACTTTTGGGGAGCAGAGAAAGTCCCCGCCGAGGGGCGGGGTGGGAGGGTCGGCAGACAGGACGGAAAAACAAACCCGGAGCGAAAGTCGCGGCGGCTTTTGGGCGGGGGTGGGGTGGGAGGCTGCTCTTACCTGGCCGGAGGGGCCGGTCGGGGGTCCCGGGACGGCTGCCCGCCGGGAGCACGGCCGTCCCCGACGGTTCTCCTGAAAGCAGCTGGCGGGGCGAGAGCTGCGGAGGCAACAGGTGGGCCGGCCGGATCTGGCGGGGGGCTGGCCGAGGGGCTCCGCTGGCGATCCGGCGGCCACGTCTCCACCTGCCTGCGGCTCCTCTTCCACTTGGGCGAGCGGCTGGCCGTCGGGAAGGACCCGCGCGCGCGCCCCCGCACTCCCTGGCACGCAGGCAGGACGGGCGGCGGGCGCAAAGCGGGTCTCGGCCGCGCGAAGACGCCTCCCGCGCACGGCCTCCAGCCCCAGCCAGGAGGGGACCTGCCCGCCCCTCGCCTCCGTTTGGGGGCCAACAGGTGGGACGGCCCCCCTTCCCGGAACAGCACCAGCACTTCGGCGCGGATCCGGCTTCCCGGGGGCCTTTGGCGTTGGCCTGGCCCCCCCTTTGAGGGATCTCTGGAGAATGGCCGGCTGGGTCAACCTGGAACTCCTGGCTGCGGGCAGAGTTTTCCTGCAATGCTGCCTTCTGTTCCCGGGGCTCCTTCTGGTGAGGGGCAGCTGGATTGTCGCCCTCCTCAAGAGCCCCTGTCCAGGTCCAAGGGGGCCCCAGCGGAGAAGGCCTGGGCAGGAATCCACAGGAGGATTCTGAATGGAGGTTGAAATCCTTTCTGGGGAGAAGGGGCTGGAAAGATGCGCCCCAGGTGGATGTGGGGGCAGCCCATCTTTCTGGGTTATTTTTGATAGCCTTTAACAGCCTCCCAGGGAAGTGGCTGCCCATCAGCCTTGGCATTGGAGGGGAGCCAAGGCCCCCACCCAAGTCCTCTCCAGGTTGGGTCCCTCCCTGCTTCCCGTTGGCGGGAAGGTGTCCTGAGACAGGAAGGGCCATCCTTGCGATGGAAGGGCGACAAACAAAGGACAGAGACGTTGGGTGGATGTCCCTGGCACTCAGCCCAGCCTGCTCATTCAGTGGGATCACGCTTGTAGGTGACACCTCTGAGGGAAAGGAACAGCTCAAACTTTGGTGTCGCGCCTCTTCCCGTCGCCTTCAAGGCTGGATTCCTGTTCCCATGATCCCCAGCCCTGCTGACAATTAGTGGCAGGAGAGGATGGAACCTGGAGTAGTCTCTCCTTTCTCAGCGGGGTGAACAATGCGTTGGCCCTGCTGGATTCTTATCATCAAATGAACATTCATTGAACAGAAGATAAACTTCATTTAGTTCTTCCGGCAGTCTAGAAATGACGGGTTTTACGACAAAAGTTTGAACTCTGAAAATCACAGTTTAGTTTCTTATTCTTCTTCGGTAGGGCACTGTTTCTCAACCTGGAGCATTTTAAGATGGGTGGACTTCTCACTTGCAGAATTCCCCAGCCAGCTGTTGGCTAGAAAAGACCCATTTGAGGCCTCTCTAGTTTCTCAGCTCAATGTTTGGAGGTCCAAAAGGTAATTCTAACTTCAGTAATTCTTCAGCTAATAGAGGAATGCAGAGCTTAGCTCATCAATGACAGAACATAATTAAAAGCCTGCCGTTTGGGTGGTGTGAAGTACATACATAACCCAGCTTAGCAAAAGCTGCTTAAACTAGCCATCGGCTGGGCCCGTCCCCCCCACCCCCGCCCATTGTTGGCTTAATTGCAGTTTGCAGATAATGGTGGCTTTGTGGATTTTGACAGGAGAGCCGGCCCTCTGCATTAAGACCAAAGCATAAACAACCTCATAAATCAGGCGGAGGGTGTCTGGAAGAGGGTCACCCTGTTCGTTCATTAAGTGGAACATAATGAGGTTCTCATTATTACCCTGATCTATTTCTCCAGCCATCTGGCTGCCCTCCTCCAGAGCGAATGCCAGAGAAGGAAGACACCGCTGAGATTTAAATGCCAGAAAAGAAGGTTATTTGAAGAATAACCACAGCCCCAAAGGAGAAAAAGCAGTATTTTTCAGCCTTGGCAACTTTTAAGATGGGTGGATCTCAAGTCCCAGAATGCTGAACAGTGCCCCGATGAAGAACCCTTGGGGGTCCCGGGTGCTCTCTGAGCTTGGCGGTTTCCTTGCAGACGTTTCATGACCCAAAGCCGATGACATCATCAGGGCTAGTGATGTTGTTACCTGGTTTGGGTAATGAAACATCTGCAAGGGAACCGCCAAGATCAGAGAGCTCCTGGGACCCTCATGTCAACCCTGGGCTACAAATATTCCCCTTTGTGCCTGCTTCACACCTCGTGCCAAGATCCCGGCTGGGGTTTAGCAAGATACAGACCCATAAATCCCTCAAACCATTTGAGCTGTCTAGGGCGCTTTGTGAACACAATTCAGGCGGTTTTAACTTTTGGCCAGAATAATTGAGCCAACGCAGGAAGCCCTGTGAACCAAGTGGGGTCCAGATGGTTGTGGGAAAAGAAGCAAGCAGTTTTCCTGGCAATTGTGCAGGCATTTCACCCCGTTCCGGGGCATATCGGCAGCTATCCCATTTTCCCTTGGCCAGCCCTGATTCGGCTTGCCGCAGCTGCTTCCCCGGCGCCTGTGTGTGGCTCAGTACGGGCTGCCCGTTGCCATGGCAAAAGCCATGATGTCACCCTGGAAATTGAGACAATGATGAGACAGCGGGACCCCAAGGTTGACCCCGGCACAAAGTGGTCAGCATGGGAGAAGAGCGGGAAGGGGGAGGATGGTGGCTGAGCCCCAGGGGAAGGGGCAGTGAGGCGATGCACAGCGGCCCTGCCACGCCACCCTTCCCGTCGTTAGAGATGCCAACAGCATCATCCAGGCTGGCAGGAGGGGCAGAGGGGTTATGGCCAGGAGGAAAATGCCTTTGGCTCAGCCACAGAAGGGAGGAAACCCAGGGGATTTGCTGAGTACCCCCACCCAGCCGACGTTCACGCAGCAGCCCCTCACCAAGCAAGCACTGGCTTGGGACGGTGCTTCTCAGGCCTGGGCAGACCACCACCAACGCGTCCTTGAGGAACGACTCACAAGCCCGTACCTGGTTTTGCAGAGAAGGCCGTGGAGCCGAGATCGAGCTGTCATCTGTGCAAAAATTTTTTGCACAGATGACGGTCTTTTTGAAGAAAAGACCTTTAGAGATTTTCTTGTTTATGGTTCACATGTTGTGTTGCACATGTGGGTTTGTTTATGTATTACATTGATATGCTGCCCATCTTGTGTCTGCTCTGCTGAGTGACTCTGTACTGGTGGCCCTTGACTCAAAACCATTCAAAGTTACAACAGCGCTGACAAAAGTGACTTATGGCCGCTTTTCATACTTACGACCGTTGCAGCATCCCCGTGGTCACGTGATCTCCTTTCTGTGACCTTCTGACAAGCAAAGTCAATGAGGAAGCATGATTCACTTAACCACCCTGTTACTAACCGATCGGGGATTCATTTAACCTGGCAAGAAAGCGTGTAAAATGGGGCAAAACTCACTTAACAGATGCCTCGCTTAGTAACAGAAATGTTGGGCTCAGTTGTGGTTGTAAGTCAAGGACTACCTGAACTGCCAATAGTTGCCCACACAGGTGAATTCCAGCCTGCCCACCCCTCGGGTGTCCTGAGTTCAAGTCTGCCCATCTGGTGGTGGCTTGCAAGGGGGCAGCCCTGGTCTCTGTGCCCCCCCATAGCCAACATAGACCCGCGGGTGCGGGGGGGGGGGGCGTCGCGGGGTCAGCTGCAGCCAGCAGGGGCCCCGGGCCTCCCTTGCAAAGGAGCCTTGCAGGCGGGCGGGGCATTGCAACGGCGGGCAGCGCATAGAGAAAAAGGCAGAAATAGGTTTACATTTCACAAGGCATTGGATTTTGCGGGAATCGCGCATGCGCGCACGCCCCACCAACGGAACGTTCGAAACAAGGAAGAGAAGAAGAAAAAAGGAAAAGGGGGCGGGGGCGGGGCGGATCTAGCCGTTTCCGGAACGTCCGTCGTGCTGCCACCGCGTCCCTCCCGGAATCATTTCTGCGGTGCACGCGGAGCGCCTTCCCCATTTCCTTCGGCGCCTGCGCAGAGCCTGCGGCCTCCCTGGGGCTGGACCGTGAGAGCGAGCGGGCTGTCCGTCTCCGGGGAGAGGATGGCGACTGACTCGTGGGCGCTGGCGGTGGACGAGCAGGAGGCGGCCGCCGCGGCCTCGGTGAGGAAAGCTCAGCGGAAGGGCCGAGACACGCGTGTGCACGTGGGATCGGGTCTCCCTGCGGGTGGTTGGCCGCTCAGACAGTTCCCCGCTGAGGGGGGGGGCTCACGAACCAGGGCCCCCCCCCCCCATCGCAGAAAACCCTGAAAACCCACAAACACACCTGGGCGGCTGTGTGAAGTTGTGGGTGTAGCCCTGCGTGGCGGAGGGGAATTTTGTACTAAGTGATTTTAGTGATGTGATTTTGAAGGGTATGTATCCATACATGTTCACACACACACACACACGCCCAAACAACAGAATGATTGATATGCACAATGTGAACAGTTGAGTGTTCTGTCAGTTGGGCTTCAGCTCTTTTTCTCCTCTTGGTAATAAGGGCTGTCCGCGAAGCTCTCCATCTCCTCCTCTCTGCCATTGGTGTCACCACTTAAGGGACTTTGGAAGGAGCTCAGAGAACTCCGCAGGCCATAAAGTGGCTTCTTCCCCAGCAGCCCCAACTGAGGTGCCTTTTGTGCCTCAGGTCAGGCGGAATCCCCGTGGCTGCCATGACCAGCAGACCCCCCATGTCACTTTCTCCTTTCAAGAAAGGGAAGCTCATTGCTGGGCTTCTCAAACATGGCAACTTCAACTCCCAGAATACCCTAGCCAGCCTGGCAATGTGGGACACAGTGATAGCTCACCCTTCCCTTTCAGGAGAACCGATGCGGGAAGGAAGCGGTAGTTCTTATCAGCGGTGTCTTCTTTTCTTCCTTGCAGCTGAGCAACTTGCACCTGAAGGAGGAGAACCTCAAACCAGACGCCAACGGTGGGTGTAGCCCTGGTGCCCGAGGCTGATCCGTTTCCCGTAACGGTCACACACACCTCTGAGTCTTTTTCCTGCTCTTTGTTCTTGCCAGTTGCGCCCACACGCACAGACAATTTTCCTCCTGCTTTTACCAGTACAATTACATCCTCATTCCTAGGAGGCCAACCTGTTGGAACGGAGCCTAAGGCTCTTCTAAGCACCAAGGAATATACTTTAGGCATAAGGTTGAGTCAATCAGAGCTTTGCTCGGGGGCAATAAATCTGCAAGCTTCACTGGCAAACATATATAGGTGGTCCTTGACTTACAACAGTTCATTTAGTGACCATTCAAAGTTACAACAGCACTGAAAAAAGTGACTTAGGACACACTTGCAAACATTACAGCATTCTGGAGGTCACATGATCAAAATTTGGGCACTTGACAACTGGCTCCTATTTATGATAGTCCCAGGATCATGTGATCCCTCTTTTGTGACCTTCGGACAAGCAAAACCGGTGGTGAAGCCAGATTCACTTCACAATTGTGTTACTGGCTTAATAACTGCAGGGATTCACTTAATGTTGGCAAGAAGGGTCATAAAACAGGGCAGAATTCCACTAACAACTGTCTCACTTAAATTTTGGGCTCAATTGTAGTCATAAGTCAAGGACTGCCTGTATTAAGAATTGTGGCTCCATCAACAGCGGGGAATTGTAACTCGATAATTCAGCTGCTGGTGGTTTATGGGGCATGAAGGGTTGTTATCGTAGGACTGTCGAGTTAGGAGGTGTCCCCATCACCTAGGGCAGGAAGTATGGACTTCAACTCCCAGCTCTGCTGGCTGGGGAATCCTGGGAATTGACGTCCACACATCTTCAAATTGCCAAGGTTGAGAAGCACCCACCTTCCACATTGTGCAGGAGAACCTATAAAGCCGTCCACGAGAGGCGCTTGTTCTGGAGTAACGGAACAGAACAGCTTTCTAGGCCAACCCATCTTGATGGTGCTACAAAGGATGAATTGTCCCAACAGGTGCCGTTGTCAAGACAAGCGACAATGCAGAGAAGACAGAAGAGGAGGAAAAGGGTAAGTTTAACTGGCTCGGGACATGGAAACTTGGCCTTGTGTGGGGGAAAGCCTCATCTCCCCTTCCAAGAAGGGCTCTTTGGGGTGTGGTGGGGGCAGTTAAGACCCTCCTTTTCTTGGCAGGGCTGGGCAGACGAGTGCCCCGCTCTGTAATGTCCGGAGGTAAAGCCAAGCCCACTCAGCATTCTGTCTTCGGTGCCAGCTGCTTGCCATCTGCTGGTTCTATCCTCAAGTGCTGGGACACCCGGTCTCCAACCGGAGACCCTCTAGGGATGGTGGGTTTGGTATGTGAGATGGGGACGGTGAAGAAGCAGTAGTTTTGGACAGGAAGCGCCAGAAGCGGAGAGCAATTGCCCCCCTCCTCCTCCTCCTCCTCGGCCTCATAGTGACCTGCTTTCCATGCTAAGAGGGCACTTGGCAGAAGCCACCATGATTGGCTAAGGTCTCTCAAAGAGCTCTGGGGGTGCAGCGGTTAGAATACAACCAGTATAGTGACAGCAGGATGGCAGGTGGACTCTGCCCACTGCCCGCAGTTCAATCCTGGCTGAAGGTTGACTCAGCCTTCCGAGGTCGGTAAAACGGGGACCTGGATGGCTGCGGGCAAGAGGCTGACATTTGTGACCCGCAAAGCCCTGTGAAGTGGTGCGTAGGTCTCTAGTTCATGCTTCTCTTTCCCATTTGGCCACAGAGGATCGGGCTGCCCAGTCGCTGCTGAACAAGCTGATCCGGAGCAATTTGGTGGACAACACGAACCAGGTGGAGGTGCTGCAGAGGGACCCCACCTCCCCCCTCTACTCGGTCAGGTCCTTCGAAGAACTGCGCCTGTACGTGCCGCTTGGCTGTTTGGGAGCCCGTGGGCCCTCGGGGAGGGGGAGGCGTTGCTCAGAGCAGGGGGGCTTTGGTGGGGGAGGGGGGCCGCTCTGAAGCCGCCTTAGTGCTCTGCGGGCCTCTTTGGGGGACTCCTGGCTGCCAGCACAATGCCTTCTGCCCTGCTGCCTGGGCTCAAAGTAGCTCTTGGTCAACTGGAAACCCAGCAACGGCAGCACAGCCTCAACCCGTCGTCAGTGCCATTGTAACTTCAAACAGTCACTAAGTGAACTGTTGTGTAGGAAATACGTCAAGAAGGTTGGAAATCAAGGATGTGAACCGGTAAACGCAACCTAGATTCCCAGTAACCAGTGGGAGGAAGCGGCCAATATTGCAGACTCCCTCTTGGTCTTCCAAGTCCCTTTGGAGGCCTCCCTCAGTGACGCTGCTGCGCTTTGCTCCCCCCACCCAGGAAGCCCCAGCTGCTGCAGGGGGTGTACGCCATGGGGTTCAACAGGCCCTCCAAGATCCAGGAGAACGCCCTGCCCATGATGCTCGCGGAGCCGTAAGTCTTGGCCCTGGGCAAACGGAGGGCGGAAGATGGGACGGGGGGGGGCACGGACACACACACCCCCGCGCTCACGTGGCCAACCTGCCTGCAGCCCACAGAACCTGATTGCACAGTCCCAGTCCGGCACCGGGAAGACGGCAGCCTTCGTCCTGGCCATGCTCAGCCGGGTGGAGCCGGATCACAGGCACCCCCAGGTAGCCACCATGACCAGCCCTGGCTGAGACCAAGCGGGTGGTCTGGTCCCGGGGTTGCTGAGGGTGAGGAGAAACCCCTCCCTGGGCAGGGGGTCTCTTTGGTTCCACTTCTGAGCGGTTCCTTCCTGCTGCTGCCCTCCAGTGCCTCTGCCTTTCCCCCACGTACGAGTTGGCCCTCCAGACGGGGAAGGTCATCGAACAGATGGGGCGGTTCTACCCTGCGCTGAAGCTGGCCTATGCCGTCCGGGGCAACAAGTGTGAGTGCCCAGCTCGGTTCCCTCCTTTTCTTGGCACCCGGCAAGGGCAGAGCCCGGCTGGGCGACCTTTCCGGTTTCTGCCCCCCGTGGGGTCCCTGCGGTGCGAGAGTTGGGACGGCTTTCCCAGGGACAGTCATTCCTCCTCCTCCTCCCCACAGTGGAGCGTGGCCAGAAGATTGCCGAACAGATCGTCATCGGCACGCCGGGCACCGTCCTGGATTGGTGTTCGAAGCTCAAGTTCATTGACCCGAAAAAGATCCGGGTGTTTGTTCTGGACGAGGCCGACGTCATGATTGCCACCCAGGGGCACCAGGACCAGAGCATCCGCATCCAGAGGTGAGGGCCGGAGGGGCTGCCCGTTAAGCGGCCACAATTTCTATACGAAGGAAAATGTTTCCTGACTTGGCCGGGAAGCCAGCAGGAGGGCAGATGAATGTCCCCAGATGGTCCAATCCCTTTACCCGCTTCCTTTGACATCATTTATGTATTTATGGATGCATGCGTGCATGAAATTGTTTTGCCGCCGCGTTCAGGATGCTTCCCCGGGATTGCCAGATGCTGCTCTTCTCGGCCACCTTCGAGGACTCGGTGTGGAAGTTTGCCCAGAAGGTGGTTCCCGACCCCAACATCATCAAGCTGAAGAGGGAGGAGGAGACGCTGGACACCATCAAGCAGTATTACGTCCTCTGCAGCAGCCGGGAGGAGAAGTTCCAAGCCCTCTGCAACATCTACGGGGCCATCACCATTGCCCAGGCCATGATCTTCTGCCACGTGAGTGCCGGGCCGGGCGACCTACCCAGCCCCAGCCCCTTCCCTCCCTCCCTCCCTCCCTCGCTGACCCCTCCCTCCTGCAGACCCGCAAGACGGCCGGCTGGCTGGCAGGGGAGCTGTCCAAAGAAGGCCACCAGGTCGCCCTCCTGAGTGGGGAGATGATGGTGGAGCAGCGGGCGGCCGTGATCGAGCGCTTCAGGGAGGGCAAGGAGAAGGTCCTGGTCACCACCAACGTCTGTGCCCGAGGTGAGTCCAGAATCACAGGGCCGGAAGGATCCCAGGAGGTCTTCTAGTCCAGCCCCCTGCTCTCAAGCAAATAGGGCTCCTGTCTCCCATGTTGGAACACGCCGACGTTGACTTCCAAAAGTCAGCAGGGCTGCGGTTACCACAGTGTTGAGCATCGGGTTGTCTCTGTTAAACTGGTGAAGAGGTTTTCAATCAGCTGTTTGATGATAAATTTCCTCTCTAGGCATAGATGTGGAGCAAGTCTCCGTGGTCATCAACTTCGACCTCCCGGTGGACAAAGACGGCAACCCGGACAACGAGACCTACCTGCACCGCATCGGCCGCACAGGGCGCTTCGGCAAGCGAGGTCTGGCCGTCAACATGGTAGACAGCAAGCACAGCATGAACATCCTCAGCCGCATCCAGGAACACTTCAGTGAGTCTCTCCCTACAAGCGCCTGGGGGGCTCAGCTCTGCCCCTCTGCTGGTGCCCCAGGGCTGTGGCCAGGCCAAGGGAGTGTAATCCTGCCTTGGACTCCCCCCCGCCCCCCCCAAGCCCAGCCGGAGGACGTGGGGCCGGCCCCTCTCTCTCCACTCCAGCTGAGGAGGAGGAGGCCGGGATTTCTCCAGGCGGTGGCCAGGAATTGGGGTTAATTCAAAGGCACCTCCTCCAAAAAACAACCCCCTCCCCTCCCACCAAATATTAAGACTTGTGGACTTCAGCTCCATAGTCCATAGGTCTTAAATCCATCCATCCATCTTATAATTTAATCATATTACATATTTGGTTTTGTGGGCTTTTTAAGGGTCATCAGCAACTCGGGGCTCTCCGGCTGGGCTTTGTGAGTTTTCTTCAGAAACTTAAATGTCTTTTGGGGGGCCAGACACCACTGGGGAACCGAACTGGCTCCCAGCTGAATCTTTTCTGACAACGCTTTTTTTTGCTTCCTTCTGTGCAGAAAAGAAGATCCATAAATTGGATACAGATGACTTGGATGAGATTGAGAAAATTGCTAACTGAGGGGGGGCAGCCGAGGGGATTGTGGGTGCCCGGCTTCCTCCCCGTGGCTCCCCCACCCTGAATGGACACGCCGTCCTGACTGGCACATCTCACCAGCCACGTGTGAAGTGGGGTGCCCTCCCGCAAGACCACGAGCGCTGCAGAAGTTACTTCATCCTCTTAAACCAACAACGATGCGGCTGGACTTTGATTTCCAAATTAGCGCAAACTGGAGAACACGGAAGACACGTTTCGCGAAGAAATGTTTACAGTAACTTTTTTCTTTTTTTTCTTTTAGTTTAGCCTTAAGAGTGGGGGAACCTCTTTAATTATGAGAATGATGCCAAAACACATAGCCAATAATTAGAAGGTATTTTAATACCTGTTTTGTGGAGAGAGACAGCACTAAGATTGAACAGACAAATATCTATCACTTGTGATAATTTTTTTTTTTTTACACTTCAGAAGAGATTAAACGTCCCAGGCAGGTTTCATGCTGGGTATGTGTGAAGTGGGCAGAGATTGCCATTTTTGCTTGAGGAAAATCATTCTGCTTCTCTGATTTTTTTTTTTTCCAGGTGATGGCATGATACTCTGCCTTTTCATTCTTACCCTTTTTCTCCTGCCCAATAAACTTCGGGGAGCTGCAATCCCAGGTGGGGGTCTCCAGACATTGGCTGGCTTTTCAGGGGGGGTGGGGAAGAGAAGCCAAAACCTTGGCGGGTTCACAGGACCTCACCTGCCCGTCAGCCCAAAATGGAGATAGGGAGGCAGAAAAAGACAGTTGAGCAGAAATAAGGAGCTCAGTAGGGGAAGTATTTGTGAGAATGTTAATGCTGAGCTAAATCTGTTTTGGGGCCTCCAGAGGAAGGGTGGGCGCGCAGGCAGGGAGGTGGGTTTTCAGCCTCACCTCTGGGCAGGTGCACCTCAAAGCCCCCCACCCCCACCCCCCTTTAACAGAGCCATGCTAAGTATTGTGTCTTTCTTCCCCAAGTCCCAGCAGGGCCTCCCCACCCACCATGAATGGGGCATCAGGCCAGTGGTTTGCATTTTTTGGGGTGTGTGTGCGTTGTTGGTTGCAACCAAATTGATTTGTCCCTGATTTGGCTTCTTGAGCCGGGTAGGGCTGGGGAGAGATCATGCTTAAAATTGCAGTGAGCCCAAGTGATGTTTGGTTCAGGGGAGGCAGGAAGGGGCTTCACTGGCCAAGGAGGCTCAGCCAATGCGGCCTTTTTCCTCTGAGTTCAGTTTGGATTCTCCGATTCCACCGTGGCAGGCGCACGAGGGTTGGGTCCAGTTGCTTTCTCTCTCTCTCTCTCTCTCTCTCTCTCTCTCTCTGTGGCACAGTAGAATTAAAAGTATTTTTATTCATGCTTGGGTGGGGGGGGCAGAGGGCTTCCTGCTTGATACGGGACCCTTTTCTAAATCGATTAATTGTGGATTCTGAGTTTTTATCCCTGCGTTTTTCCTGGGCTGGGACGGAGATGGGGATTCTTTTCATGCGACATATATGCACCCTGCTCGCTTTAGAAATGTACCTAAATTTTTAGGGTGTTTGTGCTCAGCCTCTTCGGTTTCTGTCGACAGCTTTGCGGGGGGGGTGGGGGGTGGGGGGGGGGGGGGAGTGTTGAAAAAAAAACCATAGGTGTCCACAGATTTTGTATGCTAGGGCATACTTATTTTTGTTCCACAGGAGATAACAGGCAGACATGGGCGGTGTGTGGCAGGGAGCCTTGAATCCGCTCTGGCCACACCAAGTGACAGGCAGCCTCTCAACTAGAATAAAGACCGCACGAGATTTGACCCCTGGCCTCGGCTGCCTTCCACGCGATTTGTGGCAGTGGGTCTTCTGCGGGCTCCAGGTGCCCTTTCCCCAACTCCTGACAAGCCAGAGGGGATTTTTAAATCGAGGAGGGTCTCACCTGGCATTTTCAGGTGAGAGCCCAGCCCTCCTTAAAGACTAAACTAAGTTTGTTGCCATGACATTTTAATTGAAATAAAATGATCACAGCTGGTGCCTGCTAGGTGTTCCTTCTGCCAGTTTGGGGATGAATCTTGGGGGTCCCTGGTTGAGCTGAGGGGTGCAAGTTGCACATTGGGGTTCCACCTGGGAGTGCCGAGAGAGAGAGACACTTCATGCAGTCTTTTAATTTTTGGTGCCCTCCATCTTCCCGTGCTCACTCCCATCAACTGGAAGGGTGACCAAAACCAAGCATCAGTGCTGAAGCCCAAATATTTAGGGTTAAAGTCACGTGCTGGTGTTTTTAGAGTGTAGAATACCTTGCGTGGGTTTACAGTGACCAAGTTCCCCAACTGAGTGCACAAAATTCATGATTCCCCCTTCCATACAGTAATCGGTCCACCCCCAGCCCTCTTCCCTAGGAAATCCACAAGAGTTCACCCCGGCAGTTTTCAAATTGCTCCACCCTGTCTGTGTGGAAGGTATAAAAACCAGCAGCTGATCATGTGGGAATGTTCTCTTCTCCCTCCCCCCAATCAAATAAATGCATGGGGCTGTTTCTATCGCCTCCCCCCAACCAGGAGGTAGACTACAGTTCCCAGCTGCCCACTTTGACTGAGGCCAAGTAGCCTCACAGCTCAAAGAAGACCAGGCCAAGACAAGCTGCCCGCTTCCCAGCACTGACCTTCCATGTTGGGCATCCCACCCTCTCCGGGGACCCCAGGGGAAGAAAGCAGCCCCTGGCCACGGCAGGCCGGTCCTTGGGCTGCTCTGCTGAATTGAGCCCCCAGGCCAGCTGGACGGTGGCCAGACATGACCACTGCTCAAGGCTTCCACACCCTAGGAAAGTCCCTTCCTGCCTCCCAGCGTCCTTTGGCCTGTCTGGGCTAAGAAATCAACACTCGGAAGACGGACTCTCTTTGGCAAGCTGTCCACTCTGTTAGCATGTCTCGTTGTGCAGAATACCGAGAGTTCAAACTCTGCCTGTGGACAGAGAAACGTTTTTTCTTTAAAACATTCAAATACAGTTTTAAGAGGGAAAAAAAGGCATTTTGATAACACCAACAGGCCACTCTTAATCAAAGCAGGTTGATTTGTTCAAAACACAGCAGCAGCCCTTCAGGTAAAGCCCCCACCCCCACCCCACCCACCCCCGGCAGAATTCAAGGCCGCAATGCGAAACACAAACACACTTCCATGACTGTTTCGCTGTTTCGGCGAAGAGCTCTGAACTTATCGCCAGAAACAACACTGAATTTCAAATCTACAGTGGAGAGCAAGCCTGCCCTCCTTCCAGGATCCTTCCAGACTTAATTTGTGCCATAATCTTGTAAAAGAAATTTGATTAGAAATGCAGTAACAGGCCTTGAGAAGGCCGAGCAAGTTCAAGAGCTTTTATCTACAGCCTCCCCTCCCCAGAATGGAGCAGAAGCCTCGAAAGAGCCTCAGGGTTCTGGCCTCCCCTCAGACGAGGCCAGTCTTGGTATCTTGTCCAAAAGCTTTCACTCCCCTCTCTCCCTGCACCCCCAAAAAGGATCATCTGCACCTTCTCCGTTCAACCAAACCTGCTTAAGAGAGAATTTGGAGCAAAAGGCAGAGTGTGGGGAACCCCTGCTGGCCCTGCGCCGATTGCCAGCAGCCTCCTTACCCCTCTTCTAGATCCAAACCAAATTGAATCGGGGAGGGACGGAAGGATCAGAAAGGGAGAAGGAAGGAAAGATTGAGGGATGGGAAGAAACTCCCCCCCCCCCAGCATAAAACCCCTGCCCACCAGGTGGAATTGGGAGGGGGGGGGGCGACCAAGGGCACCTGAAAGCAAAGTCCCCTTTGGACTGAGCAGGGAGACCTGGGTGAGTGAGGGTCCCGGGAGGGGTAGCGGCTGGGTCTACAGGAGTGGGAGGGGGCTGGGTTTCCTTCCGGGGGGGGGGGTGTTAATGCGAGCCCCCCGCGCTCCTGCTCAGAGCTCCCCCTGCTGCTTGTCCAGCAGGATGCACAGCAGGGACTTGTGGTGGATGGCGCAGTCCTGCAAAGAGCGGCTGAGGTCCGAGAAGGTCCTGCGGGGCACTTCCACCGTCCCAATTCTGCAGTGCTGGTAGGTGGCGGCGTTCTTCTGCTCGGCCACGGCCACCACCATCTCCAGGTTGTCCGTGGGCCGGAAGTAGCGTTCGAACCTTTCCCCCGAAGGCGAGCGGACGGCCAGCAGGAGCCGGGGCTCCTCGCAGGGCTCCTCCAGGTTGAGGGTCAGCGTGGTGGTGGGGGAGCCTCCTTCCCTCTCTTTATTCAGCTGAGGCCTCTCCAAGGGAGCAAAGGGGGCCTGGGGGTACTCTCCGCCTCCCCCCTTGCGCTCCAGCAGGAAAGAGGTGGGCCCCTTCGGCAGAGGAGGATCCTGGGGCTCCTGTTCTTCCTCGGCTGCTGCCGCCACCTGGGCACCGGCTGGGAGCTGGCCCACCTGCTCAAACATCACTTCGGCAGCACCTGTCCTCTGTTCCTTCCTGCTGATGGACGGCAGCACCCGGTACTTGTTGAGGGAAGACGAGGTCCTGGTGGGCACTTGCTGGAGGAGGTCCGGTACTTCGGCTGGAAACGCCGGGATGGGCTGGGTGGAGGCTGCCCTCCGGCCACTGACTGCTTCCTCCCCAGGGGGGGAGACTGGCTGGGGGGACGATGGCACTTGGTAGGAGTAGGCCCCCAGGCTCTGGGAATAGCTCAGGCTGGACCGGGTGCGCCCCTTGGCGGATTTTGGCCGGGTGACGTGCATGGCGACGCTGGGGAGTGGCGGCCAGCCGGGAGACTTTGCAATGCCGAAGGGGACCTTCCGTTCAGAGGGTGAGATGGTCAGAGGTGAGGCAGCAGCCATTGCTTTTCAGGAGGCCTGGGAAGGAAGGAGAGAGAAATGGCACGGACAGGTCAGCCTCTCCGTCCAGCATGGCATTTTGCAGCTCACCTTGCCAGATTGCCAAATCGTGCATGAGGCCGGCATGCTCTGCTTCGGAGCCCACAGCAGATGCTCCCCCGTCCCGGGGCTTGGCACCTGCCCCAATTTTAGCCTCCAAGCACAAAGTGGCCGCAGTGCCTCCCCTTGCCAGGCCTCCGGGGGGGGGGGAAGCGGGTGGAGGGCAGCCCACCTGCCGAAGATGCTCCATGGGCTCCGGGCGACTGGCGGCTCTGGGCATCAGGAATGCGTCAGTCCAGGAGGGTCTCGGGGGAATCGCTGGTCCTGCAGCCTGGAAAGGAGGAAGAGACCCGAGCTGGGGGCCAGCTGGCCACTCCTCGCCCCCCTTTCCTCTCCCAACAGCCCTGCCAGGTAGGCCAACCCAGAAGGTCGGTTTCCCCCCGCCTGTCCCGTGACTCCAGGCCCCATTGTTCCCAGCCTGGCTCGCCCATCATCTCCCGCCGGACTATTTCCCCCGACCGCCCATCGCCCGCAGCTTTCCTATGGTCCGGGAAACCACCGTCCCCATCATCCCCAGCCTGGCGTCGCCGGCTGTGCTGGACTTTCGATGCCCGTCGTCAGCGAGCTCGGGTTACCGCGGTTCTCGGCCGTAGTTGGGGACGATGGGGATTGTAGTCCAGCGGACGGAGGGGGTCGAGTCGCGGGGGAGGCCAGGTTCCCGCCTCACCTGGCCGCAACTCCATCCAGCGACCTGCGCGCAGGCGGCCCGTTCTCGGTGGTAAACAGCGCCGCGTTTCCACGGCAACGGCCGCCGCCAGCCGACTTCCGCGGCCTTGACCGGAACAAGACGCGGGGGAGAGAAAGGAGCACGCCCCCCCCCTCCCGCCAACCGGGCTTCGTTCCTGCGCGCGTGCGCGAGCAGGTGTCGCTCTGGCCTTCGCCCTGAGGGAACTCGGGGACGGGGAGGCGGAGAAGAGCGGCGACGTCGGTCCGTGAGGAAAAAAGGGGGGAAAAAGGTCGGAGTGGAAGTGCCCCCCCCCGTGGAAAAAAACACCCCCCGCTTCCCAACAGCCCTGCTGGGTAGGCCAGGCTGGGGGTGTCTTTCCCGCCCAGGGACGCCCATTGGCCTCAGCTAGAGGTCAGCGGGGATATTTCACGAGCCCTTTTATAAGAAAACCATACAACTGACTATGGTTATGTATCTATATATCTAATATTTATATCTAATGTATCTATAATATCTATATATCTGCATCCATCCATCCATCTATAATCTTTCTATCCATCCATCCCACCTTTATGATGATGAATATGCGAAGGGGGCGAACATCCTCTACCCCCCCTCCTCCTTCCTCCTCCTCCTCCTCCTCCTTTCTCGTGGGAGGTGTAACCCTGCCCCCCCTTAGCCGCCTGGAGTGGAGCAGGTGGAGGGCTGAGCTCTTTTGTGGGGAGGGGGGCTGTGCACAAGGACCCCCACCTCGCTTAGAGACTTGGGTGAAAGACTTGAGGGGAGGAAGAGCCCCGCTGTCCCTCTCAGGTTCAAAGCAAGGAAGAATTGGCCTCTCCCCTCGCCTGGCCTTGGGGAGCCAGACCCATCAGGTTGGGGGGCCCTGGCTGACCCCTGGGGGCACCTGGATCCAAACCCAGCCCCCTCCACCCAATGCTGCTGGAGTGGGGGGTGGCTCTGGCTTCTACACTGTGTTTGCATCACGCCAAAGCCCCTTCTGGAAAGGGGGCAATCCCCAAGCTGCATAATTAGGTCATTGGCAAGCTATGAAAGGAAAGGCTTTAGGTTTGCATGGTGTAGTTACACCAATAAAGGAGAGCATTTGTAGCTCAGGGTGGAAATGAGGGACCTTTGGTGTCCTCTTGGTGGTTTTCTTGCAGACATTCACGACCCAACTAGGTGGTGACCGAGAGCAAATCCCCCTCCCTTCTAGCACTGACAATGTTCTCTAATTGGGTAATGAAACATCTGCAAGAAAAGAACGAAGCTCAGAGAGCACCCAGGACCCCCCCCCCCCCCCCCCCCCCACACACACACACACGGTCCTTTCCCCCTCCTCCTCCTCCTCCTCCTCCCCTTCTAGCACGGATGATGTCACCTATTTGGGGTCCTAAAACATCAAAGAGAAAGCAGCAAACTCAGAGAGCACCAAGCCGTCCTGGCCTCTCGGCACCTGGAAACAACAGCACCCCAGACTGGTTCGGGGTGACCCCCCCAGCCAGTAAACAAGGGCCTTGTTTTAGTTGAAGCTTTACTAGCTTGTTGAACCCAAAAGAGAGGATGGGAAGAATGGACTCCCTTGAGCCATTGATAGCAAAATTTCTGCCCCCCCCCCCCCCAAAAAAAATAATAATATTGTTTTGGGAAGAAAAGCAAAGAGCTCAACTTAAAAAAAAGAGAAGCAGCAGCAGCAGCCAGCTTGCCTAAAATCCTTGTGGGCGGCGGGGTCAGCGGGGGACGATGCAAAGGAAGGGATGCAAAATCTGACTTTGGCAGAAGGCTGCAGGAATGGTGCAGCGCCAATGAACCGGCTGGCCCGAGTTTTTTAAAAAATAAAATCAAAGTAATCAGGTTGCCATAGCCACCTCTCTCTTCTCCCCCCACCCCGCTTCATCTGTCAAGATTTTTCTAGAAATGAATTGCCATGGCAGTGGAGAAAAGATCTAAAAATAATGCCACCCTTTCATCTACCAAAGCATCTCTCTCTCTCTCTCTCTCTCTCTCTCTCTCTCCACGTCTGATTTTATATAACAACAGAATTAATGAAAGGACGGTTTGTGAGCAGGCAAGGAAAACAGCCTTTTGCTGGGGTTGGACGTTTGTGTGAAATGACAGGATTTGTTTTCATTGCATAGAAATATTCAGTGTGTCCTTCCAAGTTGCTAGTCCTGGCTCTATGTTCTCCAAGAGCTCCACTTCCTGGGAGTGGAAATGGCTCCCCAGATTCCACTTTCACCCCCAAATGCCCCCACCCCAGGTGTGCCACGGAGACAGATCTAGTGGCGTTTTATGCAGGGGCTCCTTGGTGCCAACCACCAGCAATCCCACAAGCACAGAGGTAGCCCTTGAAATGTGGGGCCTACAACACGCCAACACCCCCCCCATTTCACTCTTTTTCTGCTTCTAAACCAAGCCCCAAACTCGTCTTCCTTCCCTGGCGCTGCCCAGCGAGGCCTTTGAGGGAATCAGTGGGATCTTGGCTTCTGCAACATCCCAGCTTCCCGTTTAATTTTTGTAGCTTATTTCTTTAAGGAAAGAAGCAATAAGAGGAGGGCTGAGTGGTGGTGACTGACTGGCAGTGCCACTCTGTGCCACTCTGGACTTAAGCATTTTTGAGATGCCCTGATCTTTCTTTGAAGGACAGCCTTCAATTCTGAGACCCAGGAGCGAATTTCTGTCCTGGACTAAAAGCAGTGAAAGGCACTCCTGTGTTGATTCTCCAACAAATACGATGCTTCCGAAGCACGGAGACTTCCTAAGAGCCCTAGTTAGCCTGGTCTTTTTCGTCATTCTCTTCCATCATTGTCAAATGCACCGCCCACCCCACCCCCCACACACTGGTCTCTTCTGGGAATTCTGTGAGTTGAGGGCCACACATTTTCAAGTGGCCAAGTTTGGAGACCCCTGCTATATAACTACCAATGTTCTCCCCAGATTCACCAAAATTACACGTGGCATCTCAAGGTATCTGGTTTTGGTATTTAATTTCTCTTTTTTTTGTTGCTATTAAAAATAGGTAGCAAGATTCTGCCTGTCCCTGCTAGCAGGTGTGCAACAGGGCAGCGTTCTGAAGGAACGATCTGGACATCTTTTGACGCTAACTCCCGAAAGAACCAGAGAACGCCAGAGATCAAAGGTACTGAAAACTGAGGCGGTTCATATATAAGATTCCTGCTAAACTCCAGGTTCTCACCATAGCAGGGAAATAGGGCAGCCTTTGGCAACATCGGAATTTCTTTCTGGTTTTAAAGAGACTTGGGGAAGAATAGCCCAGTTGCATAATCAGCTGTCAATCAAATGGCAGCACCCTGTCATTCATCCCAGAAAAGGATAAGGGACCATTCAGTGCTCCATAAAACGGAGGTTTGGGTTGTGTGAGGGTCCAGTCCTGCCTCGGCTCCCCATCCAGGATCTGCCGTTGGGCACTAGAACTGTGGTAAGGCTGTCTTGGTGATGCCCAAAAACTGGGGGGGGGGGGCTCCGTGCCAGGGAATAGCAGATCCAGGGAGACCCTACCGAGCGAGGCAGCAACCTGACCTGTTTCTTGGGCAGGAGGGTGGGGGGGGGGGGGCAAAGGAGCCTTGGCCGGTGTCCTGGAGGCCTAGGGCTTGCTGAGCCCTCCTACTGACTGAAAGGGATTTCTGCGCGAGCCCCAAGGTCCCTTCCAATTTTGTTACTCTGTTGTACGTGCTGGGCGATGGGTGCGGAAGCTGGCAGGAGAACTCCTGTGCCAGGACTAGAGGAGAGGACCAGCTGCCAACCGACTCATCCCTTGCCTTCTTTAGCCCTGCTTTTCATCCAGGCCTATGTGGCTTTAAAACCACGAGGACTAGAACCTTAATCCCCTCTTCAGTCACCCTCAGTCCCTTGTCCAAGGCTCAGAGCAGCTTCCCCCTCATCCAAGGGTGTGCCTGCCATGGAAAGGATCCGTGCTGCCCCTTTTTTCTTCCAAGCAAGTGTTTTGGAGAACTTTGCAATGCGAGCAAAAGCCGCCAGGGAAATACCCCATCCTGTTCCGGTCTGCCCTCTGCTCTGCCCCATAGCTCTGAGGCCAAGCCATGCCCATTGCTGACCTGCAGAAACCAGTGGGGCCTTACCAGCTCCATCGGTTTGGGGGGGCTATTCCTGAATTCGGAACCAACTTTCCTGGTTTGGGGGCAAGAGAGGAAGCCCTGTGCAATCTCTCTCTCTAATCCTCTTCCCTGCCTGTCCAATTTTGACCTCCAAACTGGTGAGAACCAAGATAAACAAATGCAAAATGGGGTTTATGTACCAATAAACCTCTATAGATACCCAAAGAGATTTTATTTAAAGGCATTCCTCCCTCCCCCCCCCCGCTCCCAATTTTTGCAGCAAGTACAAACACCATCCTCTCCCTCCTCAAGGCCACCAAATATGTAAAAACTGTCGTCCCCCCCTCCTCCTCCGGCAGTGTACCAAGAGTCCCATCCTGCTGAGCACCAGCTCACAGGCGCCTCCTCCTGCCAATTGCCAAAATCCACAGAAAAGGACGCAAAGCGTTGGTTGTTTCTCCCCAAGCCGACGGGCAGCGATGATGATGATGATGATGATGATGATGTGACACCGGACGATGGAACACAGTTGACAAGGGTTGTGCGATGGTTCGGTTGCGTGTCGATTGTCAAACTCTGGACTTGTTACCGAGAGGGAACAACACGGGCGGGGCGTCCTGGCCCCCTTGTCTCCTGCCCAAATCTCCAGGGATTTTTGAACAAAGGACGGCTTCGGCTCTCCTAGCGGGACAGGCAGGGGGGCTCCCGGCTCGGTGTCCAGGAGGCCGTGTCCCCCACGGGCAGCCCAGCCCGCAAGCTGCAGGACTGGAATTCCCGCACCAAAGTCTGAATCTCCCGCCGTGCCAGGCCCCCCCTGGCCACCTTGGCCTCGGGAAGGGGGGGGCCGGGGGCCGGGGGCTCAGCCCAGAGGGTCGGGCCTGCCGGGCCGAAGCTGCTGATGGCGGCACAGAGGACAGTGCGGGTGGCCAGCCAGTCGTGGGTGGCTCGGGTGGGCGTGCAGGAGGCCGGCCGCTCTTTCTTCCTCTGCTGCCCCTTCTCTTCCTCCTCCTCCTCCTCCTCCTCTTCCTCCTCCTCCTGGATGGAGCTGAGCCGGGGGGCGTTGCGGCCACGCTCCGGGGGTGGCCGGTAGGGGCACTTGGCGTTGAGCAGCCTGCGCAGGGGCACCAGCGGGACCGCGGCCTCCCCCAGCAGCTGCCGCTGGAGCCGCCGCGAGTCGCTCCGCCGCTGCAGCCGCTTGAACTCGTTGAAGGCGGCGGCCGAGGTCTGGAAGAGGAGCTGGGCGGCCGCCTGCGCCTTCTCGGCCCGGGAGAGCAGCACCGCGTGGCAGCGCAGCGCCACCGCCTTGTTCTTCACCTGGTGCCGGTACACCCAGGCCAGGACCCGTGGGTGGCGCCGGTCCGCCCCGCAGAAGGTGATGCGGTGCAGCAGGTAGGCGTGCCCGGCCCGGCGGCTCTCCTTGGCTGCGGCGGCCGGGGCGGCCGGACGCAGGTGGATGCCCTGCGGGCCCAGGGTGAGCTGCATGCGGGCGCCGCGCTGGCCTGCCTGGCTGCGCGCCCAGAGCTTCTCCACCGCCGCCTCGGCGCAGCCCTCGCCCTTGGCCTGCAGGGTGGCCGCGTTGCCCAGGTAGCAGGCGCGGAAGGTGGGCTCCTCGGCGTTCAGCTGGGCCGTCCGGCGCCGGCTGCGGAAGAGCCCGGCCAGCGCCCCCGGGGGCCACAGCTCCGGGCAGGAGCCCAGCAGGTCGGCCAGCAGCGAGGCGCAGTTCAGCCGCGGCGCCCAGCCCTTCCCCGGCCGCTTGCGCTCCTCGCCCGCCACCAGCACCCACTTGCTCCGCCGCCAAGGCAGCAGCGCCGCCGCCATGGGCAGCCCCGACGCGGCTGGGGGAGCCCCGGCCGCCGCCGCCGCCGCCTCCGACCTGGCCCGGCTGAGCGGGGCTCGCCCGGCGCCGCTGCGCTCGCCCGAGCAGCACCAGCCGCGGCGGAAGACGACGACGAAGAAGCCGCGCCTGCTCCGCCTCCCAGCCCGGCGCCCCCCCTGCCCGCCCCCGGGCGCGCGCACGAGGGACGAAGGGAAGGCGCCCCCCGCTGCTCCCTCCCTCCCTCCCCCCCCCGGGAAGGCCCCCGTTGCGCCTCCTGGGCAAAGGATCCGCGGGGCAGCTCCGGAATGGAAGGCGGGGGGGGGGGGTCTCGCATCGCCTGGCGGAATCTGCAGCCGGGCAGATGGACGGCGACCTCCCTCCCGTCGCATGTAGATGGGCTGCTGATGGAGCCCCCCTCCCCGTTTTCCAGCAGGTTCCGCCCAATCCCCCCTCCCAACCCTCCCTCCCGACTTCTGTTGTGGCTTGGTGGGTTCCAAAAACAGCACCCCCCCCAAAAAAAAACCCCACAACTAATTCTTCCAGGTGGATTTATAGTCCAGTGTATCTGGTAAGCTTGGAATTTATATTAAATTAATTCAGCACCCAGGCTGAGCATAGTGATTTAAGTAGCTGCTTTATGTTTTCTCGCCTAATAATGGAGTTTTAAGATGTAGAGTTGTCAGCTACCTGAGCAATTTCCCACAGCCTTTGTTTTCTTTTCTTTAAAGCTGAAAATAGGTGGGGGGGCTGTGTTTTTTTCCCCCTTTCAATTCTTTGCGAATTCAGTTAGGAGAAAGTGGAAGATGGCATGAACTATTTGGTTGCAATATTTCACTAAAAAAGAAGGAAGAGACGGAGGGAATGGACGGCTCCAGGAATGGGGGCTCTTGAAGCCTTCAGTTCTCAGCAAGGGGGGTGGGGGCTACTGGGGGTCGCCTGCCTGCCTGGCCAGCCTACTTAAGGGGGCAGCTGGTGGCAGGAAGGTGCTGAAGGGACAGCTCCCCACAGGAGCTCTCCAGGGTGCTGGTGCTGCCCCCCCCCGCCCGCCCACCGCCCCCGTTGCCTGAGTTGTATCAGGTGTGGGGCTAACCATCTTCGGGGTTGCATCTGCCAGACTGTTTCACTTCCAGAACTGTGTGTGATTCCGGCCAGTTGTGGTTCACTTAGTAAGCCATTGCTCAACGAACGACGTCTCAGTGTGACGTTTTAATCAGCCCTCACTTGTGTACGTGCGCACATCCAAACCGGAGGGGGAGGGGCAGCCCTTGCATGGCAGGAGGATTTGGGCCTCGCAAGCGATCCGCCTCCCTTGCCCCCAGATGAGCTGGGCTGCGTCTCTTAGCAACCCGGCTCTGCAGGCTGCAATCAATTGTTGGGTTTTCGTAATGACTGCCTCACTGTCACATCCCGTCCCCCTGGCGATGTGGATTCTGGGAAAAGGAAGGCCACAATTCCCTCCCCTGTGGTCACAGAGCCCCAGATTCACACAACCCATCTCTCTGCAGGACCTGGCTGTAGAAATCGAGAATAGTTTCTAGTTTGGGCCATGGTTATCCATGTGGCACATCCCCCTCCACTCTTTTTTGCAGACGTGATTTATTTTGGGGACTGTACAACGTTCAGTTGTGCTGTACATACAACCTACAGCAGGTTTCTTAAAATTGTTGCCCCTCATTGCAGAACTCAGACTGAGGGGAAGCCGGAGGGGGCTCAGGCCAAGGTCTTCTCCGGGCTCCTTCAGAAGAAGTGGGGCTGGTGCCCTCTTGGGAGCTGGCCTGGGTGATTTGGCCTAAGGCAGGACTTTCTGGCAGGGTGACTCAGGCTCCCGTTTCCCCTTGAGGCCTTCACAGGCCTGAACTCCGAAAGAGTCAAGACAGAAAGAGAACACGGCCCTTTGGGGCCTTCCTCGCAGGGAAAAAGCCAACCCGGAACTCCCTGCAGGCCGTTCAGCCCTCCACTCCACGCAAAGGAGCTTTAGAGGCCTACCCCACCCCAAAATCAGCCCTTATGCCTGGAAAATCGTCTTGTAGATCCACTTCTGGAAGTTGGCCACGGCAGTGTAGACGCCGGGATACCCGGGGCTGGCGCAGCTGTGTCCCCAGGAAACGATGCCAAACACATGTCCATCGCAGACCAGGGGGCCCCCCGAGTCACCCTGGGGGGGGGGGGAGGAGAGGAGTCAGGAAGTTTCTCCACAACCCACAAACCCCCCAAGGAACCCTTCTCCCCTCCCTGCAAAAAGCCCAACGGTCCCTGAGGCTGGGGCCACTTTCTGGAACCAGGCTGGGAGGCACCAACCCCAAACCTACTCTACCTGGCAGGCGTCTTTCCCCCCCCGGCCAAATCCGGCACAGATCATGTTCTTGGTGATGTAACCGGCGTATGAAGCGGAGCTGTTGCACTTGCAAGGCGGGACGAGGGGCAGGTAGACGCTGTGCAGGGTGTCCGAAGTCCTGCCCCTGACGGGCGTGGTGTAGCCCCAGCCGGAGACCTGGCAGAAGCGGCCGGCCCGAACCTTCGCCCCTTGGCGAGGAACTGGCACGATGGAGACGAAGGGGCTGTAGGCCACCGGCCGGCTCAGCTGGCAGGCAAGAGCACAAAGCCCCCGAGGGACGGGGGGAGGGGCAGTTGAGGTGCAAGGAAATGCCCCCATTTCTTTCCCCAAGGGGCCCTCTGGCTTTGGGGGCACGGCAGGGGTAAGAAAACGCCAGGCTGAGAAAATGCCGGCCCATCTCCTCCTTCCCAGAATTCCCCACTGAAGCACCGGCTCCCTCTCTGCCCTTCCCCCCCCCCCGAGAACCAGGCCCCCATCCCGAGAGGTTGGGGTCACCTTAATCAGCATGATGTCTGCGTTTTTCGAAGAGGCGCTGTAGTCCGGATGGACCACCATGCGGGCCGGCCGGAAGATCTGCTCGGTACCCTCAAAAGTGGACAGTGAATGTTCTCCGGCCACGATGAGCACCTGGTTCATTCTGCAAGAGAGGCAGGTGGTTTGGGCTGTGCGGGGCCAGAGGAGGGCAGGGGCCGGGGGGGACGGGGCGGGGTGAGGCAGCCAGACCAGCAAGAAGCTTTTAAAATGTTGGAGAGTGAATTCTGTGGCTTTGTGAATTGACCCGCTCTTCGTCTGGCGTTTCTCAGTCTTGGACTTTCATTCCCAGAACTCCCCAGCCGGCCACGAGCAACAGACAAGTCGAGGACCATCTGTACAATGTCTGGGATGCCTCCTCCTCCTTACCTGGCCTTGCAGTGGGCAGCGGTCAAGACCCAGCTGCGGCTGACCAGGGCTCCCCCGCAGAAATGGAAGCCGCTCTTCCTCCTCTTCAGAGACACCAAGTACTTGGAGGAGTGGGGGGCCATAATGTAGCCCCCGATGATGCGGAGGGAGTCCGTCTCTCCGTCTGCAGGGAGAGGGTCAACAGTCCAGAACTGTCCGTCTCTAAGGCGATGGACAGATGTTGCAGGCCCCATAATTCCCAGCCCTGGAGGAGTTCACAAGCCCTCCCTGGTCCCTGAGCCCATCTCCCCAGTTAACGCCATTCCTGCAATGTGGATTATTCCCTTCATCCAGTCCATTTCTGGCGCCTCCGGCCTGCAGATTTGAACCTTGCGGACCAATTCACTCCACCATCTTCCATTTACAGAAATGCATTTAGAAATATTTTCTATCTACTCCGAAGGGAAAGTTCAGCTGTTTTTTTAGAGGCAACATTTACACATTTTTATGTGCTGGGCATTTTATTGTGGAAATCTTCCTGCTGAGATTTATGCTACCGTAGCCTGTTCAGGTTAAAATGGAATGCGCTTTTATTTTGGGCGTTTTTAATGCACTGGTCACTTCTGCTGCTCTCTGACCCTTTTAAAAAGGATGCTGTGTCTGGCCCAGGAATCAGCTTGACCCCAATGACATAACTGTAAATTAGCTGCATTTCTACATCCCAGTTGGTGGCTGAATTAAGTCCATGGGGCTCACACAGTAGAAATGTTGAATTAACTATTTCTTCTACTTAAAGCCAGCCAGCCGTCCTTCCTTCCTTCCTTCCTTCCTTTTCTTTCTTTCCTCCCCCCCCGCCCCGCCCCCCACAATTTATTTTTTTTGGCTACTCATAAGATTTTTAGCCCTGGAGATCCACACCCGTCTCTTTGTTCATTGAGAGTTGTTCTTCCCCAATGTTTCTAGCTGTCTTGACAACTTTGCCCTTTAATTACCAGCTGCCTCCCAGCACGTCCTGGGCTTCATTACAGTCTTCTCACAAACAGTGAAGCCATTGTCTGCAGTTACGCCTTGCTCCCTGCCAGGAGGTTGCTTTTATTATTAATTCCCTCTTGGTCTTTTCTT